GCGTTTGGATGTGTGAACGTTTTCGCTCCTTATTTTCACCCAAAACACGAGGCCCAGCTCAAATCCATCTGAGCAGCTCTACTTAAACCCAGAGCCAAGCGGGTGCTTGTCCCGGCTGCCCCCAATTAGGGGATCTGACCTGGATGCCTTGTTACACGCTCCTTCCCGTAAAACGTTCGTCTGAATCATTTGACCAGGTGCCGTCACCGCAACCTTTTCCAGTTTCAGTCCTGGCCTTCGTGTCCCGGCCGGTAAGAGAACACTCTCTGTTGCTGGCTGAAAATAATCCCGGGCAGCTCGGGCTGGCGGAAGGCGGAGAGCGATTTATTTAGGTTTTTTGAGCTTCCAGCAAGCAGCTCTGAGGAACGCTCGGAAACGGCCTGTGGGGATCGCTCCCAGAATCGCGACGGAAGGGCAAAAAGAAACTATTTGGGACGTCACGATTTCAGTTTTGGACAGGAATTCCTAACCCCTCTCTGTCCCTATGGAACCAGAATTAACTGTTCGGGTCTCTCAAGCTGTTTTTTTCAGTTCTCAGTCCGTGTCAGAACTGAGACTGGTGAATCCCTTCATGCTAGAGGGGCTCACACAGATCCAGAAATAGCAGCGTTTTGGAAATTATTCATTTTATTACGCTGATGCCGCTGAATTTAACACCTTCACTTGTCCGAGCAGCACGCGTGGGATGACGCAAAACTGCCTTTACGTAGCAGCAAAAAAAGAGGTGGAGATAACTGAAATGTTTTCGTGTGGAAACCTCCAAGTTTGGTTCCCTGACCTCGGCCGGTAACACTTTTGGTGATCGAGAGGGCTCCTTTTCGCAGGAGGACACGGCGCTCCGGCCAGAGCCCGGCGGATCTCAGCAGCTGCCTGCTCCTCCTTGCGCTGGGCGTGAATCCGTGTTTGTTATCGTGGTCGAACAGGAATTACCTATTTCCCAATCAGCAGCAGTGAAGGAGGGATGGGGGGAGCTTCCTGCCGCGGAAACGGGGCGTGCTGGGAGCAGAGGGGTGTTTTGGCAGCTTTCCCTCCTGACTCACCCTTTTCTTCCAACCAGGCCCGGTCGGGAGGGGTTTTCTCACTTCCCAGATCGCTGCGGGACCGTGCCGAGGGGCCGTACGTCTTCCCTGAAATCACGGCAAAACCCCCAAGATAAGGATCCCTCCCTGCGGCATCGCAGGGGACAGACCGGCCGCGCTTTGGGACGTTGGCTCGTTATTTGTTCTGGCTTTTAATGCGTGTGGGTAAGGCAGCAGAGAGAAGGTTTTGTCCTCTGGTTAAATCCCAGCAGGATACGGTTTTGCACGGAGGATTAAATATTTACACAGCGAATCCCCAAGGTGGGGAGGCTGGAGGTGCTGCCTCAGGATTGCTTAAGTCATGGGGCTTTGGGAGGCTTCAGTTTACATAATTATAGATGTTTGCTTCAAAAAAAGGCTCAGTTGCTATTGAACAGGTGTTAGGTCGGGATGCCCGGGGGGTTTCCCCCGTCGATGGATCTCGGCAAGTTCGGAGGCGAAGTGACGGGGTCAGGCTTTATTGGTTTCGACACAGAAGCTTCCCTCGGTCTGGGTTTCTCCCAAACCTGGGCAGGTGGCGAGGAGAAAAGGGGAGGGATGCAAGAGGTGAAGCCGGCCGGCTCTTTGAGGAGGAGAAACTTCAAATACGAAAATTAGAGCTCGTCAGGACAAAGATGAGAGGGGGCGGGAGGGCGGTTGGAGCCGGTCATTCCATGCTCGCTGCGTTTAGCACCAAGCGCGTGTCACAGAGCTTTTTCTTC